TGGGTGGCTCAGTCGGTTGGGTGCCTGTCTTTGGCTCGGGTCATGATCTTGCGGTCTGTGAGTTCGAGCCCCGCGTCGGGCTCTGTGCTGACAGTTTAGAGCCTGGAGCCTGCTTCGGATTCTGTGTCTCCCTCTCTCTGCCCCTCCCCTGCTCAAGCTCTGTCTCTGTCTCTCTCAAAAATAAATAAACATTAAAAAAAAAAAAAGAAAAAAGAAAAAAGTAAATAAATAAACATTAAAAAGAAAAAAAAGAGCATCCTGGCTGTCCTGTGGAAAAGGGGTGGTGACTAAGAGTGGAGGCCAGTTAGGAGAGTTTCGTAGTCCCCACACGTGGTGGGGGTTGGCCTGGACCAGGGGCAGGGCACTGGAGGTGCAGAGAAGGTGGGGGGCTGGATCTGGGATAGGGTGGTGGGCTGGAGTTGGGCGCACACAGCTATAGCCACATTTCCCAGCCTCCTTTGCACTTAGAACTGCCGCCAATGGAATGTGGGCAGAAGTGACCCCTCCCGGTGCCACACTCCACCTCTCTTCCCCCACCTGCAGGCTGAATGCAGAGAGGCAAAGGCTTTAGGAGAGAGCACAGCCGCAGGGTGGAAGGGGACTGGGTGCCTGACCACGCAGCCCAAGGCTGCCCCACGCCAGGAGCACCTATTCTGAATTTCTGTTGCATTAAGGCCCTGAGCTGTGGGACCAGCCTGTTACTGCAGCTGGTGTTACCCTGACGCACGGAACAGCAGCACCTGCTGACGGGCTGGATATGGAGGGCAAGGGGGCGCTCCAGATGACCCCTGGGTCTTTCGCCTGACTGGCTGGGTGCTTGGAGAGCCTTCCGTTGACCTCACTCCCTAGGAATCCACTCCTGCCGCCCAGCGCTGAGGTGAGACCCATTCATTTCACTCTGAAATGGGTGGGTCTTCGTGGAGATTCGGGGCGAGCATGGGCAGCCTCTCTTGCAGGTGTCCAGAGCATCTGCATGGCTTGGTCTCTGCTGCAGCCTTGGCATGCATCCCCTGTCCCCCCCCCCCGCCCCCCATCTCTACTCCAGCAGCCCCGTTGCGGTTTTTTGTTTGTTTCAGGCACACAGAACTTTCAGTTCCTTGCACAAACTCTTGCTTTGCTTGAAACAGTCTTCTCTCCATTACACTCAGCAGCCCACATGTATCGAATGCCTGCCAGGGGCCAGACCCCAGGTGAAGCGCTTGGCAAGTATTCATGCATATCGTCATCACGATCTCCTATGCCGTAGGCCTGGATGGCCGATGCCCTGTTCATCCTCAGCTCCCAGTTCATTGGACATCTCCTTCCCTGACCCCTCCGCGGGCGGCCTTCTCTGTGCCGCCAGAGGCCTCTGAGTTCCTGCCGTCTTCCCTTCTTTCCAGTGCATTGGGATCCTCACATTCCATATCTATGCTCCCCCTGAGGACAGGAATCCTACCTTGGTCCCCTCTCTGTCCTCAGCACCCGGATCTGGCACAGCGCACAGCTGGTGGCTGCAGACAGAGGAGCCACAGCCGCCTATAGAAGTTAAGAGCATGGACTATGCACCGTGACTGCCTGGGTTCATATCCCAGTTCTGCTGCTTACCAGTGTGTGGACCTGGGATGCCTCAGTCTCCCCACCCCCAGTAAAAGGGGTTTGGAAAAGCTCCTATCTCATAAGGTGCTGTGCTCGACAGAATGGCCCCCCAAAGACGCACACATTCTTTCCCTGGCACCTGTAAATAGGTTAGGGTACGTGGCAGAGAGGAGGGGGGCGGTTGCAGGTGGAAGGAAGGTTGCTAATCAGCTGACCTGGAGACGGGAGGTGATCCTGGACAGTCTGGGTGAGCCCAGTGTCCTCAAAAGGGTCCCTACACGTGGACACGGGAGGCAGAAGAGGGACAACCGTTAGAAGAAATTGGCCTGACGTCGCTGGCTTTGAAGATGGAGAAAGGGGCCACAAGCCAAAGAGAGCAGGTGGCTTCTAGAATCTGGTAAAGGCAAGGAAGTTCCTCCCTAGAACCTCCGGAAGGGAATGCAGTGCTGCCAGAATCTCAGTTTCAGTGCAGTTCATCTGTGTGACCCAGGTAGCCCTCCACCCTACGGAAGTGGAAGATGGCACGTTTGTGTTGTTCGAGCCGCCACGTCTGTGACCATTTCTGGGAGCAGCAGCAGGGACGGCTTCACTGATATGAGCATCGAAGGAGCCCATAAGCCGGAGGCACCCAGAGCAGCATCTGCCCCTGAGGACCATCTGGAAGTGTTAGGCACGGCCTCGGACGTCACAAGTGAGAGAACACCCAGGCCCATAGAGACGTTGTGGCGTGTGCTCTGACTCACTTCTCTTCTTGAGGAGCCAGACCGCGGCTCAGAGACCCAGAAGCAGGATTCTGGCGCTGCAGCCTTATTTGTAGCTTTTCTATTCTTTTTTAATTTTTTATTCAAAAAAATAAAAAAAAATTTTTTTAGTGTTTATTTATTTTTGAGAGAGAGAGAGACAGAACATGAGCAGGGGAGGGGCAGAGAGAGGGAGACACAGAATCCCAAGCAGGCTCCAGGCTCTGAGCTGTCAGCCCAGAGCCCAATGCGGGGCTTGAACCCACGAACTGCGAGATCATGACCTGAGTCGAGTGGGATGCTTAACCAACTGAGCCACCCAGGCACCCCTGTAACTTTTTTGATTCCTGCCCAGACTTCAGAGGGGCAAGACCCGGGGCCACAGTCTTGGGGGGATGGGGAAGCACCGTGGATTTACAGCCTGAGAAGGGCCTGAGAAGAACTTTCCGGGGACAATTCACGATCCTGGTCATTGACACAGCTGGAGTCAACGAGGCTTGGGTTCAAATTCCAGCTCTTCCACTTTCCCGGTGGGTGAGTGTGGGTAGAACACTTCTCTGGCCTCGCTTCTCCCATGTGAGAAATGAAAGTGATAACAACGCCCCCTTCATGGGACTGCGTCGAGGATTATAGAAGAGGTTGTGTGTCACTTTCCAGGTGCCCAGTAGCAGCTCACTGCTTTTCCTCCCTTTTTACAACTGTCTGCCTGCAGATGTCAGGAATTCTTTTTCTGGAAGTGCATGTGTGTGCCAGGCACATTCTCCCACATTACCGACGGGGCCCTCCCTTTCTAGTGCAGGAAACCATGGCACAGAGAAGATGCCCTGCTTGTCCCGTCCTCACAGCCAGGCAGGGGCTGAGCCAGGACTCGAACTCGGGGCTGCGTGGTCCCCAAGGTCATGATCCTTCCAATGCACCATGGTGCTTCGTCAGGCAAGATGCCGCCGGCTTTATCACCGCCCCCCCCACCCCCACCCCTATTGCCTCTCTGGATTTCACCTTCCTCTTCTCGAAGATGGAGCTGAGGAGTACTGGCTGGCTGCCTGCCTCCACCGTCATCGTGAGGACCCTGTGACACCCAGCTGGTTTGTCAGATGTGCCCACTGAGGGTGGGTATTATTGGGGCCATGCTGGAGCTGTCTGGCCCCGCCGGGCAGGTGACTGTGCCCTATGCTTGGCATTTTTGGTTCAGCAGCTCTATTTTAAGCCAGAGGAGGTTAGAGTTTGTGTGTGTGTATTTCTCAGCTTGCAAAACCGTCAGCTGAGCCATCATCAAAAACAGCAACACTCCGAGGCACCCCCTTCACCTGCCCCCCCACCTGCTCCCCTTCTTCCCACTCTGGGAACTTGAGGGGACCCAGTGATTTTCCTCTGTCCCTTCATGCCGGAGTCCCACGCATGGCCCCTCAGTGAGGCCACTGATCTTCTTCCAGAGCCCCAGGGTTGCCAGCTCTGAGGACAACAAGAAGGGTGATCCCAGTCCCCAGCTGGACCCCGGGTGCCTTTCAGAGCACTTCACATCCCTTATGAGTCTAGAACTTTCTGAAAGCTTTGTGAGCCAGGCAGGCCATGCCATTCATATCAGAGGGAAGACCCAGGATCAGGGAGAGAGAAGGGACTGTCATCCAAGGTGGCACATGGTAGGGCAGTAATCCAGAAAGAACAGGAGTTTCTGAGTCAGATCTCTGTTCCATCTTGGACAAATGACGTCACTTTTGAGCCTCAGTTTCCTCATCTGTGACATGGGAGTACCAGTAGTTCTGTACTGGTCCCAGCACATGTGAGTACCCCTTACACCCAATTAATGTTGTCTTTTCCTTTTCCACCCCAATTATTCCCCAGGCCTCCTGGGATCTCAAAGGATTGATTTTTATAGTTAGAATATAGTTCAGTAATTTTTCCAGAAGCCTGGAGGGCTCAGGCATTTTTCCTGATAAGATCTCTGTCTCTTGTCTCCGTCCTTCAAGAATGGATCATTTGGGCCTCAGGTACCAGCTTCTTGGAGGTGGCAGCTGTGACCTTTCTGCAGCTGGAGGATCATTGAGGGATCTGGGCTGCAAGATGTTAAAAGCTGCCTCTCGCTAATTTAAAGAAGGTTATAGGTAGGATTTGGGGGTCTTGCAGAATCTTCCAGGAACTGGTTCGAGGGGCCCAGAGAGATGGAACCTACCGGAAACACCATAGCTGTACCCAGTGTGTGTTGGGGGGGGGGCCACCATTGTCCCTAGGCTGATGCAGATACTGGTCAGGGGACAAGTGGCAGCTGAGCATGACCCTGT